ATTAATGAATAAAGACATTACTAATGAAAGTTATGTTTGGCTGCCATACATTGGTAAAAAGGGACACTTTCTAACTAATTCAGTGACAGGCAATATGGTCAAACATGGAAAGGCATTCTGAACATCATGAACAGATTCACTTACTGTCAGGGTGTTACAGTTCAATTAATGTTAAGGTCTCAGCTAAAAGTTAAAGTTCAAAACTTTGACCAGAACATAAATATTATACAGTACAGTACTGTATATTTATGGATATACAACTTATCTTAAGACTTTTTAAGAGGGTATATGTCATCTGCAGACAAACTGATGATAATTACATTCAAATCTCTGCCTTATTTGTAGTGTTACTTCTATCAATTGCGATATTGTGATGAAACTTCATGAGAATGTGCACAAAGTTCAGAACACCAGATTCAAATGTCTTTGTCAAAGTTCAAGTGCCCTGCTGATGGGTAAAGGTCATAATATTGTCTGGATAATAATTCTTGTATTTTTGCAGACATTTTATGAAACTCTACGTATGCTTGTATCATTACTAGGTAAAGTGTAGAACATCAGTTTATAGTCCCATGACATAAGTTATGGTCACAGGAAGGTCAGAGTTTAAGACCTTGGCAAGAGGATAAAGTAATTCTTAGCAGGAATATGGTGAAACATTACAGGTATATGCGTCGTCACTAGCCTATGTGCATAACACTAATTTTCAATGGTTAGTATCAATGTTTGAAGGTCAGAGGTCAAAACCTTTTCCAGAACATATCTTTTGTATCCATATAGATAATTTGATTGAATTCTTAAAATGTTGTTTATCATCATTACAGTATACACAATTCATGTGTTTTGCCAGAGTTGTTCCCTTTTTGATAAATTAACTCTTTATTGGGGGCATTCTTGTCAACAGAATCATCTTGATTGTGTTTGTTACTGGTGCAAGCACTTTTTTGTTTAATTTTTTGGTGGCTGGAACCAAGAGAAACCATAAGCTCTTTTCAGTTTCTTTCATTGAATCATTCTTGCTGCTGCAATGCCCCATCACCCATTTGTCTGCATACTGTTATGTCATCTCTGCACACCACTGGTTCCATTTTGTTCTTCACCTAATTTTTGAGTGTCTTCCTCTGCTTACCATTGCACTATACACATGAGGACTATTTAGGCAGCATGTACATAATGAGAAAATAGGAAGTGAAAAATTGGTAAGAAGAAGAGTAAAATTCAGGGATGGATGATGGGAGGAAGAGAGGAAGACCGAGAAGGGGAAAGAAGGAGGGGTTGAAGGATGCACTAGATGTTGAGGGGGATGGTCAAAACTATTATTGTGTGTGGATGAATGGCGAACGTGAGATCAAGTGATTTTTGGGGTAAGGACATGCTTTTAATGGGTGACACTGACTTGTGTGAAGGGACATATGAGTGTATAATTGATACTGGTTTCACACATAAATTTAATGCCCTTTAAAGATTAATCTTCAACCTGTTAACCACAATTTAGCTAAAGTGTATGGTAGATAGTTATTACTGTATTTCTAATGCAGTATAGTAACCGTTGAGCCGTGGGAAATCTTTGTTTATGATGATGATTCCAGTTATTATTTTCATTAGAGGTCACACAACAATGCATTTTGGGGCAAATAAGTTTGACAAAATATTCATTGGCATCCAAACTAATTATTTCAGATTGAATTACTCATAAATGCATTTAATTTTATGGATCACTGAAGGTAGGTTTGTTTGGTCCATTGTGCTGTTTTTCATATTGTTAATATCTTTTTAATGCATCTTTCCTTCTGCCATGTGCCATCAAATACTCCCCATACAGATTTTATACCATTATGTACTGTAGCTATGTCAGTGGAATTGATTAGAGTGAACTTAATTTGCTCATCACTGTCACAGCATCTTTAAATTCCAACATTGTTCACAGTTTATCTGAAAATGCCATTCTTGAAATGGAGCTCTTCATTCTCGATTACAATATACCATTGTCTTGAAAATGTCATTTGTTCCAGGATTGATTAGTTATGCAAGAGCAATGCAGAATTCGTTTTAAGATAGCTCTTTTATAAACTTTTGTCTGCACTTTCAATACAGGTGAATGTCTTACACCACAGCTTGGTCACTGTAGGCTGGATTTTATGCACAGCCTAACATCAAAGGAAAATCTTGCACAATACATAGTGTTTTCTAGTGTAACTCTATGAAGCTTTTGAACATTTAAGCATTACCACATGATGGTGTATATATATCATATTTGGTAATTACTGGTAGGTCACTGTTACTTGCATAATAAAGTTAACTGAATACTCAGGGACCATCTTACATGGGTCACAACTTCTTCACCTTGTAACATAGTTTTACAGCACACGACATTTCAGTGAGAAAGTGAGCTAGTAGGAACTGAGTGTTATAGTGGTGATAAATTCCATACATATGAATTTTTCATTAAGTTGTTCACAGGGTTGTTATGATTTAAATCAAATGATTTAAATCACATGATTTAAATTGATTTAAATCAGAGTAAAAAAATCATGATTTAAATCAAAATGATTTTTTTACTAATAACTGTTTTCTCTTTTTATTCTACATGATTGAAAAGTATATGCAATGCAGCAGGCTAATAACATCAAGATGATTAAAATGCTAAGACCAGAATATGTTTCACCTAATAGACATCAAATTGGAGGGTCTCTTTTGGATCATGCCTACGATTCAGTGATTAAGAATTATTCAGAAGAACTTAGTGGGAAGACAGTTTGTATGGCCATGGATGGATGGAGTAATGTCCATAATGAGCCTATAGTATGTATAACTTTAACAGCGGACAACTGTATTTATCTTGTTGACTCTATAGACACAGAATCAAGACACACAGCTGAATATCTGTTGAAATTAGCTGAATGTGCTACAAAAAAGTGTGAAGACAAATTTGGATGCACGGTAAGAAGCTGTGTAATAGATAATGCTGCTAATATGGCAAAAATGAGAAGTGAATTCGGACAAGATAAATCCATTATAACATATGGTTGCTCTGCACACCTGTTAAATTTGCTTTCACAAGACCTGCAAATCAAGAACATTAAGGAGCACATTACAGAAATCATTAAGTACTTCAGAAATCATCACATCCCAGGATCTTTGTATAGAAGAGCAGGAGGAACAATGCTAGTAATGCCATCAGACACATGATGAAACACAGTGACAGATTCTATTGAATCTTATTTAAAGAACTGGGAGACCCTTGTCAAAGTGTGCAAAGAAAATAGTGAAGACATTGATAAGAAAATTGAAAGGATATTTAATGATAAGGCATTAAAAAGAACTGCAGAAGACTATTTAGAGAGACTTAAGCCTATTGCTGTGACATTGGACTGTGTCCAGAGAGAACATACCCTATTAAGTGATGCTGTAGAAATCTGGGTAAAACTGATATTAAGGAGTATTTAACAGATAAGAAGGATATGGATAATTTTGAAAAAAGAATCAAAGTAGCATTGACACCTGCCCATTTTCTAGCTAATGTGATAGATCCAAGGTATCAGGACAGACATCTGACTCCTGAGCAGCAAGACATTGCAGAACAGTATGTGTGCGAGTCTCTTCCACATTTCCTTTCAACATTAATGTCCTTCCATGAAAGAAGTGCACCATTTAAAGAGGTCTATTTTGGTAAAGATGTAAAATCTCTCTCACCCCTTGCTTGGTGGCAGTATTTTGCCAATGATATGACATAAAATGTAATGGATGTTCCTAGGCAATTATTTACAGCTGTTGCATCATCAGCAGGGGTTGAGAGAATTTTTTCTACATGGATTTTTATACACTCAAAAGTAAGAAATCGCCTAGGACAGGAAAAGGCATCTAAGCTTGTCACAGTACATAAGCATTTCTATGTTCAACTAAGCTAATTTAAATGTTTTGAACTATTTTTGTTGTTTACAGAATGAGAATATTGTGTTGACTTGAAGTTATTACCGGTAATCCTTAATACACTATAATCCTACAAATCTAAGAAAATAAACTTGTTACTAGTACAGGGATTATTTTTTTACAAAATGATAATATTATTCTGTTGACTTGAAGAAATTAAGTTATTAATTTTTGAAACACTGTAATCCTATAAGAGCATTTATGTTAAATTTCATTATTACATTTGGATTTGTGCACTCAAATGTAAGATATGTTACCAGTTTTCTTTTATTTTACAAAAAGAATATTATTGTGTTAAATTCCATTGGTACATCTACTGCATAAATATCTTAATGCCCATTTTCTGTTTATTATCCTGAATAATCTTTGGTTGAAAAATACTGTTTTTATGGTTTAAAAATACTATTTTAATGCAATTAGTAAAAAAATAAAAAATATCGATTTAAATAAAAAAAATCCGATTTAAATCAAATAAATCGATTATTTTAATTTTTTTAAAAATCATGATTTTTTCCAACCCTGGTTGTTATGACTTTGGGTAAACTTCCTGAAGTGATTTATTCAAGACATGGAGTGAAACTATATTATGTTAACTTAGAAGTGATGGAGGGTGTACACAGATCATGTGGGTCCTATGACTATTAAATTGTTTAATAAATCATGTTTTTTGTTATTTCACTGGGGTTTTTTTCATTTCTTTGTTATACTGTACTTAGTTTCATTAGTACTGTACATGGGAAGCTGCTGTACACTATAATTTTTTATTATTATTATTAGCACTGTTGATATTGAAGCTACATGAAACTAAATAAAATTTCAGACAAACATTGCCCAGAAAGTCCTTAACATGGTCTTGGTTAGAGGATCAGTTTGCATGCAGACTGTTTTCTTTTAGTACACATCCACTGGTGTGGCTTCCCTAATGTGTCATATCAATTATTGCATTGTATTTTTACACAAATTGTAATCATTATCAGTACAACTTTACTGTGTTTGTCAAACCTGAAGACAGTACATGTACGGGTATTGAAGATTTTGTGGAGTATATAACGTATTATTTTTCTTTTCAGCTGAACCCCAAATTGGAGTTGAGCCGCACTGATCTTCTCAGATTACTTTCCTATATGGAGGGTGAGCTACAGTCTCGAGATGTTGTTATAGCAACGCTCAAGGTATAGTTTATAAGTACTGTTATGTCTCGAGCTTTACAACTTGCTTTCCTGATGCAACGGAATATACTATAATTTCTTATACATGTACTGTACAGTACTTGTATATATAATGTACTGTACCATTTAGATGCTGAATAGATTGGATATCTAGCTAATTGTTGGTGTTAGTCTAGAATTTTAATGATAGTTTTTATTATAAAAAATGGCATCTTACATCTGTTGACTTGAGAATTGAGAAAATTTATTGATTATTTTATTAATGTACAGGTAACTCGCATTTTACGCGCGTTTGATTTAAGCGTTTTTGGAATAACGCGATTGTTCAATTAATACCAAAAGCTAATTTACGCTTACCTATTTTTTAAATAACGCACTCAAGACAGTTTAAATTTGCCGCACGTATACGCCTGGTCGCCTGGCAGTGGAATCGCATGTGATGCCTGGTGAGGTGCATGTAAGTTATTACTATAAAGTCGCAGTCATATCAACATCAATGATTTTAATATTATTGATACTGTAATAATAATTATTATAATAATGTAATAATAAAGATTATTACTACTAATGATGAAGATAATGATGGTAAAGAGGTATTCTGTACAACAACTGTGACGACGTCCAGCAAGCTTCCCGTGTATCGCTTTCTCAGTTTACACCAGCACTACTTTTTCTCTGTGCTCTCACTTGCATTGTGTGTTTATCATGTACCTTTTTAATGTTAAACGCTTTTCCCCATTGAGCATTTCTGGAAAAGTCCATCTACCTCCTCTGGGGCGCCTAAAGCTAAAAAGGCACGAAAAACAATCGCAATGGACGTGAAATTAAATGTGATCACCCTCCTTCAGAGAGGAGAGCGTGTGCCGGAGGTTGGCCTCGTGATTGGTTTAAGTTAGAGCACCGTTCGTACCCTGTGCGGTATATGATGGTTCCCCTAACCTGTACCATTTACATGTATTCTTAGGTGAAAATTATGTTTAATTTAGGCATTTTTTTAATCAAGTGGTGGTTTTCAAGAACGTAACCCCCGCGTAAAACGAGAGGTGGGTGTACTGATATGTATGATGAACATTACAGAGACTTGATTTATGAAGTTCACAGATCTCCTTTACTCTTTTCAGTTGCTTTTACTGGCTATTACATTAGTACAGAGTATTGTATTCTATGCCTAAAATATCTGACATTCAATCACATTCAAGTCCATATTTATTAAGAAATCAAGACCAGGTTTTACATTACTTTAAGTGGCCTTTTAGATCCATCATGTGTATCATTTTATTAATTTTAGCCTTATTAAATATAGTCACCAAATTCATGTCGGGTGTATATTGTATTTATTTTATCTGGTGCAGGGCAACTGCTACCTAAATCTACAGTACTGTACAGTCAGTTCTCCTGTAGCGTGGTAGTTGCGTTCCTGAAAAGACCGCATTATATAAAAATTACATTGTATTAACCATTGACTCATAATTGCAGTTTACAGTACTTCTCATCATTGTAGGAACACTTCTTCACAGCTTTGAAAGTGTAAAAATTTTGCATTTGTATTCATTTGTTTACAGCTTATTATTACTATTTTATTCTACCTGTGTTTTGTTAAGCATCCTTGTTGTTGAAAAATTTGTTACATGTTATTTTTCAGACTGAGCGAGTCAAGAACCTACTACAGTATGGCCGAGTAGGATTGAGTGATCCATTCCTAGCTTTACAGCGGGACAGCATTGGAGGTTCTGTGGTGCGGGGTGGGGGTGTCAATGAAGCTGAACTCAGAGCTTTAGAAGAGACACAGTTAGCGCAGCTAGAACACCTGATTGCTCAGCAACGTAAAGCACACCAGAGGATGCGTCATGTGCTTAGGGAAGCAGAGAAGGTAAAGGGCAATGAAATGAATAAGAAATATGTGATATGCATTAAGAACTTCACAAATTTGTTTTACTGTAGTTGCATTTATTTCTTATTGCACATTTTCTGCAGAACCCTGAAAAGCTACATTCCTCTCTTTTAGCGCCATTCTCGAGTGGTGGCAGAGCTTGAGGAGGAGAGAAGGAAACATGAACATGACACAGCTCAGGGTGATGATGTTACATATGCTTTGGAAAAGGACCGGACACGCTTAAAACAGGTGAGCATGTTATCCTTCATGTAAGAGCAACATTTTATGGTGAATCCATACTGTTGTACTTGGACTAAAGAACCCTCACAAATCAAACCACGTTCTGTAAAAATACCCACATGATTATTGTGTGACTCTAACGGTGATATCAATGATTTCTTCTCAGTGTAGTCAACCTAAGCAGATGGACTAATGCCATCTTGACAGACTCTTGTAACCTGTAAACTAATGAGTAAGAACATACTAGTAGAAAGATTAGGAAATTTTTGTGATGAGCTACTTAGTAGGTTTGTTATCTTGGTCTCTTGTTTGCTAAAATGTCATGCATACCTTCTCTTCTCTGTCATAACACTCATAAAAGTTTAGATTTTCAGTAGATTACTAGTCCGTTTTAATTACCCCACAGCCCAAATTTTGGTGTAGAGGTGTATTAGTCAGTGGTTTGTGTGTATGTGTGTGTATGTGTATTTTAAATTGATAGAGTCTCTCTCATTCTCTCTGCTTGCCTGCTGTCATTGTGGCATAGTATTTATTAGCTTGTTCTTGTTCATACTGTCTCGGAAGAGATGAAAGCCAACTCATATTACAAACTTTTTGTGCTGCCTTGGCCTTTGACATGTGCTCAAGGATTTTACCTTTAAAATTTTGTGTGCAAATGTTTGTAAATTTGTACCCAGGTCATAGCGCACAGTCTTCTGCATTAAAAACAAGTAAATTAGGTTGTAATTGTGTTGTAAGTCTTCTGACTTTTGATGTTTCTTCACTGTCTATGGCCTTTAAAAATGTTTTGTGCAGCATTACTTAAAGACTGAAGAGGCGAGACTTTTTGAGTTGAAATAAACAAATGTTCCTTTAGTTGTTTTGTGTGGTATTTCTGTGTCTCCTTTATCTATGACCATACATAGTGGTCTTGTCTAATAAGATTTGTCATCATTGGTACAGTAGTTGCAGTTTTGAGGATGCAAGACTTTACAGTTTGCACCAGTCTCATCTGAAGACAGAACTTATACATAATGATGTTTTGCTATAGTATTGACTTTTGAACCCACCAGTATGCTGGGATGTCTGATGATGCCGAGAGTTGTACAAATATGTAAGTTAGACCTCTTATGGTTTAAACAAAAAATTATATAAGGACGCTCACTTCTTTGGGGACGGGTGGGGAGACTCATTTTTGAACCAGGTATTGGGATTCTGACATAAGGAATTTTAAGTATTTTGGGCTTCCACAGATAATAGCAAATTCACTTTGAAAACTAATTTATTTTTTGTGTCCATATTATATTTACATGGTGACCTTCACCTGACATCCGGGTTACATTCGTTCGACTTACGAACATCTGCCGATACGAACTAGGTCCCATGAAGTTAAACTTAAAATTTACAGTACCCGTACTGTATTTCATTTACCTGATGATTTATTATTTACTCTCATTTACTATATTTTGTTATTTTATTTCTTCTTTTCTCTTGAAATAAGTAATTTTAGATGTATATAAGGACTTAGGATTTTTAACATTGTTCTCTAAGAACTGTATTCACATAGGGTATATGGTTCGACCTAAGTAAAGCATGCCCTTCAAATTTGCGGGTGTTAGGTTCTCAAAATGGCCGAGAATTGCCAAATACGTTAATAACATTTGCTGACCTTATTGTTACATGTGTACAAAGAAATGTATATTCCCTTTACTTGTTTGCCCTCAGGACAATTATTTCTTTTACCTGTACTGTATTGTGTGTGTATATATATATATATATATATATATATACAGTATATATATATATATATACAGTATATATATGTATGTATGTATGTATGTATGTACAGTCAACCCTCACTTTACGCGGTCCCACATTCCGCGTTTCCACGTTTGCACGGTGCCCTGCCAGAACCCAGGATGCTCACATTCCGCGGTGGGTGTACCCCTTTATGCGGGTGAAGTATAATTTTTTTATTTAGCTCATAAAATTCATACAAATTATCCAGCCAGAATATAATTTACATTGCTGGAATTCTTACAATTTGATGATCATTTTGAATATAAACATCATAGATTTTGCATTAGACATACAAATTTTAGATATAATAGTACTCTGAGTAAATATGTTATCTTTTGTGCAAAATATATGACATTTATATTCAAAATATTCCTGTCAATTATATTATCCTAACTTTAGTCTGATTTATTATTTATTACTAAAAAGGTAAACAGTCTGGTATTCCCACACATTTATCTGGTAGGGAGGGTTGGGGGGGAGGGAGGGACTGGCGACCGAGCACCTGGCATGTGTGAAGAATATTTTTTTTTTATTAACTGAAGATATTTGTTTTAGCTCATAAAATTCATACAAATTACCCGGCCAGAATATAATTTACATTGCTGGAATTCTTACAATTTGATGATCATTTTGAATATAAACATCATATATTTTGCATTAGACACAAAATTTTTAGATATAATGTTTACTCTGAGTAAATATGTTATCTTTTGTGCAAAATATATGACATTTATATTCAAAATATTCCTGGTCTTACAAGGAATCCAGCAATGTCAATTATATTATCCTAACTTTAGTTTGAGGTATTATTTATTAAAATCTAGTGGTTTTCCCCCAAAAATTTCGCAGAGAGGGAAGAGCCAGCAGTGTAGTGTGAGAAGAGGGGGAGGGAGTTGAGTCCATTATTTGAATGGACATTAACTTGGCGACTGTATTTCTCTATTTCTCTTAAGTATTAATTGTGTGCATGTACCATCATAAAATTAAGATGTTATTTTTACTAGAACATAGGTATTGTGTCGGAAAAAGTAGAGTTTGGGGGTCGGGCCAGTCTCTATTGGAATTAATCCCATATGTTCTGTTGTTCACTTAATGCGGTACCCTGTGGGTTCAATTGACCGCGTAAAGCGGGGTACAACTGTAATTTGTTTCTAATTTGTGAGAGGATTTTCCCATTATTCATTTTTTTAAGTGTTTTGTGTGTCTCTCTAAACACACACACACACATACAGTGACCCCTCCGTTAACGAACTCAATCCGTTCCAGAAGGTTGTTCGTTAACCGAAAAGTTCGTTAACCGAAACCATTGTTTCAATGGGTTTTTGGGTAATTGGTTCCAGTTCACCGAAAATTTCCTAAATTGAACAAAAATGGTAGAAAAGTTCACTTACTTTGAGGTGTGAATGTAGAAGGCTCCTGGATGATGATGATGATGATGATGATGGGATTTAGAATGGGGGTGGAGGAGAAGGAAGAAGAGAAGGCATTGGGGTGGAAGAGAAGTCACCCCATGGCGCCATTTCACCCATAAAATTTTAGCTCTCTGGTGTAATTCAAGATTATTTTCTTTAAATCAACACTGCACTGCATTATATAATGTCAATATGTAAAATATATTTCAAAATGACCAATAATTTGCTTGGAAACACAGAAAAAAAGCATTTAGTTGAAGAGAGTCTCAAGCAAGATGTTACCTCCAGTGAAAATAGAGAGAGACTAACTCCTGTTTGCTGTGTTAAGAGGCTGGATGCCGCGCATTAAACTAGTCACTTTACCTTCAATTATGTTCAATAATTGTTAAAATGACTAAAAAATTGAATATTAAACTTTTAAAATTATTGAATAGTATAAACTTCTTGATATTTACTAAAATAGTAAGGAATTTAAGCCGTAGAACCGATTAATGTATTGGCGGACTGATACTAAAGCTGGTTGCCCGGTCAGTGCAAGCAAAAACATGTTGAGGTCGGTTCGTAAGAACTTCGTTAACTGAATTTTTGTTCGTTAACCGAATTGAAGATCCTTATGGAAGGCAGTTCGTTAATCGAAATTACGTTAACCGAGGTGTTCGTTAAACAAGGGGTCACTGTATATACAATACAGGTAAAGGAAATTACTGTCTCTAGAACGAATGGCTCCCTGTCGCAACTTTAAAACTTTAAAACTAGCCTTAGACATTCTTGGGTACATGCAGAGTGTCATCCGTGAATAGTAGAGGACCGTGAAATGAAAATTTGCGGATTATTCGGGTGTATTGTACATTTTCGACTGACTTAAAAATGTCCATAGGAACTGAACTCGTACGTAACCTGGGGACTGCCTGTAATCCCTCAATGTAGTGCAGTAACTTGGTTAGGTTAACATTGTACCAAGTCACATTAGATTTCTTCATGGAAACCATGTTATAATATCTATATATAGACCAAACATAACCACTTAAAGATAACTCGGTGAAGCCATAACAAATTCACATTACAGTACTGTACAGTATATGCAGTATATGGAAGGTCTCTTGGGAACACCATATCAGTGCCTCATGTAGTTGTGCCTCAATAAGGCTTACCACATAAACTATAATGAACCACTGTATTTAAAGGATGATTTTTTTTGTCATCAGACCATAAAGTGTTTTGTTTCAAAACTAAAATGAAGTTTATAAGTAAAACATATACCGGTATGTACAGTATACAGTATTTGCTTAGATACTGTAGTAAATGTGCATTTTAAAACTTAATAAAGAAACACAGTACTGTACTGTAGTCCCTCACCTTACATGGGTGTAGCATTCCAGTAAAACACCAAGGAAAAATTTAACCCTATGGGGAAAACAACCCAATCTAGTAACATTTCTAGGGGTCATATAGTTTCAATCAAATACATGTACAACATTTTAGTGGTTACTATATGTACTACATATTAGATGAGAGGAGGGGGGAAGGAGAGGGCAGATTACAACCACATTCACTACCTGAATTCTTGCTTTGACTTTTGTGCATTGTTGTCTGACTAGCACTAGCACTTCGCTTCTGAGGCACTGTTGATAAAATAAAGCCATAACAGTCAGATTAGCCCCCCAAAATATACATACCTGTATTTATATATTCAGTCTGTAGGTAATCCAAGGTTGTCATGTTTAAACAATGCACTGAGGAGTGTCGTCTTCCCTTCTCACTTGCTGGCACACATTTGGAGAGCAAGGCAAGTGGGATTATACATCATAGCAATGCATG